TCAATGCATGCATGCACAGTCACAGCTATTCACTCTAGAGCATGGCACTAAGAAGTGCTATGGTTGTAGCGCTGCCCTGGAAAAAAAAAAAAAAAGAACCCTGGGCTCAGGCCATATACAGGGAGACTTCCAAACTTGAACCTCTAGCCTGTAACTCTTTCCTGCCTAGTCCTGGCACTGGAACACCAGCAGGCACCTCTCATATGTCAATCTGTCCTCTTAAGTGACTTCTCTACCCTTGGATTACTTTACCTGAATTGCTATCTCCTGCACATCTTGGGTCCATCAGCAAACCCTGAACCACCCATACTTGCCATTTGCACCAGTTGGTCACTGGCCTTCTAATCCCAGCTGCTTCATTCTTCTCTATAAACCTGGCCCCATGCCCACTAGGGCACTTTAGAAGGCACACCGACCAGATTACCCCTGCTGCCTTTCAATGACTTTGTTTGTTTGTTTGTTTTGTTTTTTGGAGACAGGGTTTCTCTGTGTAGCTCTATAGACCAGGCTGGCCTGGATCTCACAGAGATCTGCCTGCTTCAGCCTCCCAAGTGCTGGGATTAAAGGCATGTACCACCACCACCCAGCTCTCAATGGCTTTTTTTTTAAAAGCAAGGTTTCATATGGCACAAGCAGACTTTAGACTCTTTATATACTGATCTATAAGAGTTCAGATGACCTTGAACTCTTCATCCTCCACACTTTACTTGCCCAGCACTGGGATTTTTAAGCATGTACCATGCTCAACTCCTCCAGTGACTTCTGACTAGGGCACACCAGGATCTCACCTAGCCACTTCACTAAGTACCCTGTCCATTCCTCAGTTGGCTCCTGCTACACTCTCTGCTGTGTACCCATACCTGCTGCCTTTCTCTGACTGCAAACACAGTCACTGGTCATACAAGTTTTATAAGCACACACACACTCAGAGATAGACAGACAGCTTTTCACCTGTGCACACTCATTACTCTAGCCTGCCCATCATACGCTTTCCAATCACTATAAGGGCTAATTTTCTGACACCACCATGTACTGGGGACTCCAGGATGCATTTGTGTTTAGCTTGGTAAAGAAAATACTTACAGACACACCATGGAAACCTGTAGTGCACATATGTGCTCTGGTTGTATCCTCTGAAGGGTTCTGACTGCAGAAATGCCTGAGTAAGAGCGTTTTCTGAGATGGGTATGTTCAGCTGTCTATAATTCTAGTACTTGGGTGGTAGATGTAGGAAGATCAGGGTTTCAGGGTCACCCTCTGCTACATGGCAAGTTTGATGCCAGCCTGGACTACACTGAAACCCTTTCTCAAACCCCAGTCACAAAATAAACAGAGAATCTTATCTAGGTCCCAGGCTCTGGTTTCAAACTTCTCATCCACTGAGGAACTGGGACTCTCTGGGGGAAGTGACTGATCAGATGGCTAGGTAGGGGAAACAAGAGCATGGAACAAGCTCAAAGAGGAAGAACACGCTAACACACTCATGGACATTGATATGTGGATTAGTCACACTGAAACTGCAACAATTTTACCAGTAGACTAAGTAAGACTACAGGCTACAGCTTTGGTTATAGATACCCTAGATGACAGCAACTTCATGTTGGATCCATGTGTCCAACACAATAACCAGGCTAAGGAAACAACCCCTGTCTCGTGCAGAGGAGCTGCCAACCAGCCACTCTCAGAAACAGTCTACACAGGAATAGGAAACACACACACCTCTCCAGTAGTTGCATATGGATAGCAACATCATATCAGAGGACAGCATGAAAAAGGGACTTGCACCTTTGTAGTGACACCTGAGCCCTGTGACTCAGGGCACCATGGCCGTAACGCCTGTTGATACCATCTATAAAGATGGCTCATCACCCTTTGCAGTATTCTTCCTGAAACCCATAACCCCATTAAAGCAAGAGAAAACACAGGTCAATTTCTGAGACAGGCACCCTACAAAACAGCCAAGAAAAGGAGACTATCTTCCAAGAGGTGCCCCAGTGTCATGACAGGCCAAGCGAATGTAGGAATTACCTGGACTGTGGCCTTTGGCTAGCAGAGGCAGCACTACAGTTTATTAGGGTGATGTTTCATGCAAATGGGGCCTGGGGTATGAGGTCCTCTGGGAACTTTTCTGTACTGTTATCCATCCTGTTGTGTCTTTGAACATGTTGAAGATACAGGGTTCTACTACAGAGGTAAGGCGCCATTCCCAGGAACTCCTGTCCAAAGCACCTCCTACATTTTGGTCTATAATTAGACCCTGTGCTGGTCGTGGTGGTGTGCTTCAGCTTGGGGTGCCCCCCACACAATACATAACTCATTCAGCACTTTCCTCTTTTGGAAAGCCTCTCCAGGTATAGGTCTATCAAGAAATCCAAGTGAGGGGTGCAGTGACAGTTACTGTGGCCAACAAGCATTAGGACTTGGAATACCAAGTCTTAAGCCCTGGGTATCCAACCTCCTCCCCGTAGGACCTGTGGGGCCTCACCTGCCACCTTTCATCACTCATACCAGAGCCACCCTCCTGGGTGCTCAAGCAGGCAGAACTACCTGGATGATATCTGGCTGTAAGAACCAGGAAAATAGATGGACCAGCCTGGGCCTGGTATGAAAGAGTCACAACTCTTGAGTCTGGATAACTCCTACAGGTTAAAAGCTGCCCTCAGCTAAACTGCATTCCAGAAACGGAGATGCATGGCTTCATTTGGAATTGCCCAGGGAATACATCTATGCCCAATTCCTTGTAGAAAGTCCACACTCACAGTGGAACCAGTATTTATCACTAGGGCACAAACCGACTTTGGGAGCCCATTCCCTATGGAGGGATACTCTCTTAGCCTAGATACAAGGGGCAGGGCCTAGGCAAACTTTGATGATCCCTCACGGAAGGCCTCACACACCCTGGGGACTGGATGGGGGGATTGATGGGGGACATGAGAGGATGGGAGGCAGAGGGAACTGGAATTGTTATGTAAAATAAGATTGTTTCTAATTTAAATAAAATTTGTATATTAAAAACAGTCCACACTCACCCTGATCCTTGTCCCTCCTCAGTCCTCCAGCCACATCCACCAGCCCCTCCCACAGCTGAGCCAGGTTCCCTAGAACTGCCCACCTCTAGAACTTATTCCCCAGCTGGGTCCATGGAGGCTTCTCCATCCAACAGCATCTCCAGCCAATAGGCAACAGGCCCTCCTGGGAAGGACCCCACCCCCACCCCATCATTGAACTTGGTACCTCCTCTTTTGGCTACCCATCCTCAAATGTCCCTCTCTGCAGTCCCTGGACATAGCAGGCAGGTGGGAAAACACTTAGAACAAACTTCTGTGGCATCAAGGCTTCTGTGCCAGGTACTGGGCCATACAAACTCAAGAGCAGTTGTGCAGGTTCAGCTGCTGAGAGGGTCTGCTTGGCAGCAGGCAAGTGAATAACGAATAAGTTTGTGAGGAGACTGGGCCTGGTGCCCATACTGATCCCCTGGACACACTGCAACTGGCTGGGGTGGACCGGCCCATCTTACAACACCCTGAGGGGTCTCAGCTGCTGAGGGAGGTACTGAGTATATCCTGGGCTCACCAGTTAGTTCCCGTCTCCCCCCACCACAGGTATAGTTACCCAAGAAGAGCCAAGAAGCTGATGGATACCCCAAGGGTCCCTTAATACAGTGAGACAAGGTCTGGCCAGAGTTCCAGTGAGTCTTCCAGGGTAGAACTGCCTGTGACACCCCCCAGAGCCTGAGAGGCCAGAGAGGATACAGGAGCCTGGGAAACTTCACATTAACCATCAGGGTATAAACCAGACAAGGCCATGCCAATCTGCAGCCCCAGCAATGCCCTCCCTACCTTCTCCAGGCTGGAAATGCAAGCCTCTGTCTGAGCCCTTCCACCTGCCGGCTGGATGCTGGTCCTCACTAAGGGCATACTGCCGGGCTAGGGCTAGGGCCACCTTTCACCACCAAGCACAATGGGGGGTGGAGGAGAAGCCACCCAGGGCTCCATTGTTCCCCCCAGGGTCTGAATCCATGATTGTCCCTGGGGGTGGAGCAGTGAGGAGCTAGACAGGCCCGCTGGGGGCCCAAGCAGGTCCTGGCCCTCTCCTCCCCAGCCTCCATTTGAGGTCCAGAAAGTTCTGGCTCACTCTTCTTGAGGAACATCTGCACTTTTGGAGGCAGCCCAGGGTTCCCCGGTCTCTCTGGCTTCTTCTGCCTCAGTACCTGCCTGCCCTTTTCACACCCATATCCACCTAATCTGCCCAAGTCCTGTCCCAGGAGCGGCCTCACCTGGAGATGCACAAGGGAGAGCTGTGGCTGACCACCGTGGGGGTAGCTGGCAACAACCACTGCCCTCACTGCAGGGATTGCTCTCTTGGGCGGAGCCAGGCAGCCTGGGCTGAGAGCCCAGAGGAAGAGGGGAGGACAGCAGGACCAGACACTCAGAATATCTCATCTTGGGCAGGAGGGGAGGGGACAGCAGCCCTCAATTTACAGACTTCTCTCTCAGGAATGCTGCACCCCGCTACAAGCTCAAGCTCAGAATCTGGAACCTCTACAAAGGCCCCAGGCTCTGCCCCTCTACTTGATCTCCAGGGTTCACTGGCCCTTTCTTGGGGCTTGGCTGGCTATACACAAGGACAAGAGCACACAGTACCCACAGGTCCATGGGCCAGCAGTATGGCCCCAGTATTCATGCTCTTCCTCTGTGGCTGGGCACTTTCCTTCCTGGACAGTGGTGCCTGCCATTCTGGGTCCCCAAATGGCTCAGAAACAGCTCAAAGAGGCAGCAGTACTAGGTTCTCCACTGCTGAGCCCCATTCCAATCCATGCTGGCTATCCCAGCTGACTGGTTCCTAGAGAAAGAAGTGATCATGATCAACCATAGCCAGCATTCTGATGACTGGTGGACCCAGGATACGGGCAGCAGCAGGGGATTTTGGACACCTACCTATGCAGAACCACCTTGGCAGCCTTCATACGGGCTGACCAGATAAGGGTGGGCAGACAGGGGTCTGACACTCTAAAACAATAGTTACTTTATTAGGATGTCAGTCCTGCTCCAGCAGGAAGGCAGAGACAGGGGCAGGGACAGCCCAGGGAGAATAAATGTGGGTACATTTCAGAATCCTTCAGTTTCGGCAAGCCAGCACAGGATGAAGAGCCACCATGTGGCCAGACAAGGGGCAGCTCCTCCTACTCCACAGTGGAAGCCTATGACAAGTCCTTGGTGCCTTGGCAAAGATCACCCCACCTCATAACCCAGGCAGATTTGGGGCACCAGCATCATTCTGGAATGAAGCAGGCCCTCAGGCATGGCCGGTTCCCTGAGCCTTCTTGATTTCCTGCCAAGGAAGAAGGAAAACAGAAAGTCAGAAGAGACAGGGAAGCAGGGAGGGCTGGGTCTCATAGCCTCCCTTGGCCCCCAGGGACTCTTGGACTTTGGGCCTGTACTTGATCAGTCTGGCAATTGTCAGAGCCTCAGCTTCTTATAGTGTAGTAAGGGTGTGAGCCCTGGCCTCAGCAGGGTTTGCTGGACTCACGGGATGGCTTGTGCAGGGGACTGCCCCAAGAGAGGGCAGGTGGGGAGAAGCCCACCTCAGAAAGTGCCTGCTTCAATGTTGCATAGGCTTTATCCAAGTTGTCATTGATGATCACCAGGTCAAACAAGCCAGGCTCCTTGCCTGTGAATGGGACAAGACAAGAGTCAGGAACACATGAAATTTGGCCCCTTCTGGGCTTACACCACTCCAACAACCTGCTACCTGGCTATGGCTACTCTTGCCTGCCACTGTAGTAGGATGGCCAGGGCTGGAGGAAGCTCTTCCTTCCCTTCCTCTAGAGAATCTCAGCTGGGCTTGCTCCCATCGCATTCTGAGTACTAGAATATGGACCACTGTCCCCTCCCCAGGCCTCCATTTAGAACTGGCACTGCATGTGACAGGCTGCCATACGCACACAAGGAAACAACAGCAAAAGGTCTCACTGACAATGTCTGAATGTAGGCCAAGCTCAGACCCAAGCTCAGAAGCAACAGCACAGCTGCATATAAGATGACTATAACTGTCAAGTCAGTAAGAAAAATGTGGCTGGTCCCTCAATGCTCTGCAGACAGAGAGGTCTGGAACTCCTCTATCTTTGCCCTTGGTCCTCCCTGTCTCCTGATGAATGATGGGCTGGCCACATGCTCGAAAGGTATAAATGGTCTGACCGCACTCACTGCTCTCCATGTCAGCCTGTGCAGCTGCCAGTCGCTTTGCCAAACTCTCTTCAGTCTCAGTGTTGCGCAGCCGCAAGCGTTGCTCCTAAAATGCAGGCCTTTGTTGGGTCAGTATTCTCCAGGTCTCAGGGCCTGCCCTGAGGGTCTCCCCACACCAGTTACCCACCAGCACATCCAGTGAGGGAGGCTGCACAGAGATGTATATGGGACGCAGATCAGTCTTCTTGATGTTGCGCACACCCTGTAGGTCAACGTCTAGCACGCAGATGCGGTTCATGGCCTGCACAGCCCGAACAGCCGCCTTGCTGGGAGCAGGAAGGGCAGTGAGCAGATGTTCAATGGGACCCAAGGGAAGACCCTGGCCCTTAAGTCCTCATGAGTTCTTGCCTGCTGGCCATCCTCAGGAATACATGCACTAACTGCTAAACCTTGAACCCCGGTAGCCTCTTAAGGCTTCCAAAAGCTTCAGAGAAACTCAGCCCCTTCCTCCCCAAGGTCCATCCTGGGCCTGGCTGGGTAGGGCAGAGGTCCCCTGAACCCAGCACCCTCTGTATTTCTCAGAACATCTAAGCACACCTTTGGCCCTTTTAGGCCTTCTGACAGCATAGTCCTTTGTACCTGTCCTGCAGCCAAAGACCAAAAATGTTTGGGCTTTTGGTCAGGTCGGAGCTGCCTGTCACTGCCTACCTCACCTATGTGAGGTATCTCATATGGCTCCTGCCACACAGGATGGCTTGAGGAAGATGAGCCTGGGGCATGACTAGACCTGCCTGCTCCCTGGAGCCTATTAGCTAAACTCAGAGACTGGGGGGAAAGCAAGCCATCCCAGCCTAGGCAGGAGCCGGGGAGGATATCATATTACAAAGGGGACAGGCAGGAGAGCTTCCTTCTGCCACACTTCTGGGGTTATCCTGATCCTTAATCCTGGGCCCACACCAAACTCAGCCCACCTTGTCCCATACAGGTTCCCAGAGAACTCAGCATGCTCAATGAAGTCCCCAGCTGCAATATCACGCTGCATCATCTCCCTGGTCACAAAGTAGTAATCTGGAGAGGAAGAGGGCTTTTCAGAGGATACCCAAAACCCAGACCTGCCTGGCCTGGCCCCTCTCTCCATCCTACACAGGACTGCTATAACAGATGCAGGTTGGAACAGACACCACTGTCCCCACTGTCCTCACTGAGGGGCTGGAAATGGCCAGGTTCCACAGGAAAGTGGGACACCCTGCCATACACCAGGCAGGCAGAAGGTCCAGCCCTCACTCTGAAGATACACAGACTCTAATCAAGTCACCAGCCCAAAGGCAAGAGACACTCTCCTGCTGGGGACTGAGCTGTTACAGCCAAGGCAAATAGTAACCCCCCCACCCCACCCCACCCCCACACACCAGCTCATCCATGAGGCCAGTGGATTAGCAGGCCAGCTCACCTTTGCCATTTTCCTCACCAGGTCGTGGATTCCGTGTAGTATCTAGGAAAAAGACCTATCACACACTGAAGGTATGGGTGGACAACAGTGCCAAGGGTCTTCCCTTGCAGGCCTGCTCACAGCCAGTGGAAAGCCCAGACAGAATAGATAGATCTCAAGAGGTCACTGGGGCCAAGATGCTTACTCTAGATGGAGGCCCTGGGAAGGGAGAGGGTAATGGGGTTGAGGAGAGTGAGGAGAGCATCTCCTAGGCTGGGTATATATGTTTGGAACTCTAGGAGTAGTCCAGTGCTGGGATAGCCTCTGAGCTCCTTGCCCTTCAGGGTCCTGGGACACTCACGGGACACGCTGAAGCCAAAGATGCTGCCATGTTCCTGGAGCAACTTCTTGAGCAGGGTGCTCTTCCCTGCACCTGATGGCCCACTCAGCACTACTGGCCTAGGACCTGCCATGCCTGTGAGAGGAAGGGCATCACAGACATAAGAGGTTTTGCCCTCAGTGGTACCCTGGCATTGCGCTATAGGAGGCAGTGGCATGAGGGACTCCCAAGAGCAGCATCCCCATATAATGTGAACCCTCCTCACAACAGCAGTCAATTGCCAAGATGGTAAACACAGGCAGGAAGGCCAAAGGATTCCAACATCCAGCCTCACCCACACCCAACAGGATGTCCACAGGCCAAGTGACCCAGAAACAGACAATGCAGTAGTCACTGGTCCCACCCCATATAGGCTACACTCCAGAATCTGACCTCACACTGAAGCCTGGGCTTTGGTGCCCATAAATGGCACTGCCCACTGGGAGTTCCAAGTCTGAAAACAGAAATTCCCTGCCCCTGTCCCTATAAACATGGCATCCTCAAATCTGCTCAATTCGAACCTGTTTGGGAAACTTCCCACTAGATGTGCCACCTTATTTCTGACGTGTCTGAGAAGGACAAGCTGCGGAAGAGAATTGGAATAGTGCTCTCTAGCCTCCCAAGGGGAAAGTGAATGCAGCTCAGGGACCAACATCTGAGGCAGGTAGGGGCTGCTTGCTGCTGAGAGGAGCTGCTGTGGTAGGTATGAAAGCAAATCAGAGACCTCATCCATCACAGTCCAGTCTGGGACCTGAGCCTCCTTCCCTTAATCTCTGTTGGCATCACCCTAGGACCATCTTATCTCACCTGCTCCCAAGCTCATGCGCAAGCAACCAGCCCCACCTCACCCTCAGCCCTATTCCTCCCACTGCCTGGCTTCTGAGCTGGCCCTCATTTACACAGCCAGGACTCTATCCATGAAGGCCTTCCTGCCTCCTCAGGATGGCACCCACCTTACTTGATGTGTTGCAGCCTCCGTGGTTAGCCTGGGAAGAGTCAACGCTGCTCTACACTGAGGGACAGGGGACTAATCTCTACCAAGCCCATACCCCGCCCTTCTGAACAATAAATCCCTGGGGCACCCTGCCTGCACTGGCTGCAAAGAGATCAGCCCTGTTCTTCCACTGTGCAAGAAGGAAAAGGAAGTTACTTGTCCTGCTCCTAAGACCTACACCTGTCCAAATAACCCGGACAGCATCTGCGTCACTGACAGATGAGGAAGAGCCACCACAGGGCTGAGAGTCCTGAGCTGCTGCTCTCTTCTGCAGCTGAGGCAGCGGAGACTAGGGAAGGATTTGGGAGACAGAGAGGCTGCCTGCCAACCCAACCAAGCACCTTTGGCCTGTAAGGGTGAGGCACCACACAGTTTCTGGTCCAAAAGGCATAGGCTACAGAAAGGGCATCAGCTTATAGAAGTCTTGTGTTCTTAATCCTCGATGTAGGCCACAAGGTAATCTTACAAATCTTACACTGTTGCTGGTATTTATCACCCACAGGAGCACAAGCACATGCATATCACACATGCATATTGAAAACACAAACACACACATGTACGCACGCATGCGCACGCACACATCTTTGAAAGTACATAGGACCATCTATCAAAAATACATAGTAAGAGGGACCTAGGGAAACTCACTCTGTATCACCAGTGCTGCCTCTCAATAAAACGCTGCTCCCTTCTGGCTCTCTGCCAAATGTGTATGAGCCCAATCACACTGACACCAATACAGTGTGTACACTGTTTTCTGTCTGGGCTCCCGGCTTCCCCTGACCCACAACTCATCACCACCTTTTCATAGGTATCCTCTTCCCCGTCACTGAGCCCTGCTGCTTCCTCCACGGCCTGGCCTTAGAGTGTGCACGACAAACCACACAATGCAGCTCCTACAAAGCTGCCTTCCGGTCTGCTTGCTGTTTCAGGCAGTCAGAATAAGGTCCTCAAGGTGCTGCACTGGCTCCAAATTCCCTGATGGCCACAGGTTGTGATCTGCAGCTGCCAACATGGGTTATACATCTGCACATTCCAAATGGAGCTCTTGGTGCCCTTGAGCGTAAAAGGAGCTCAAGACAGTGCTCACCATGGGGCTTCGTAGGCTCACTGCACAGGTGTATTCCAGAGACTGAGAACATAGGATCTGAGACTTAAAGAAAGACAAGTGCCATGACAATAGAGGAGAACCAAAGCTAAGAGAGATGTTCCAAAGTGTATGAGGTAAGAAAGCTTCTGAGAGCCAGACAGTGGTGGCACACAAGCCTTTAATCCCAGCACTATTGAGGCAGAGACAGGTGGATTTCTGTGGGTTTGTGACCAGCCTGGTCTACAAAGTAAGTTCCAGGACAGCCTAAACTGTTACAAAGAGAAACACTGCCTCAAACAAAAAAAAAAAAAGAAGGGAGGGAGGACCAGCAATCAAGCAAACAAGCTTGCTTCTGAGAAAAGGATCTCAGCTCAGAGAGCCAATAAGAGGACATGCATGAGGGACAAGCATGGGTCAAACACATGCTCTGCCATCTCATCAGACAATGGAGCAATCTGTACCTATGCCTCACTCTATATCCTGCTTCAAACTATAGGTAATGATGAACTACTATCACTCAAATTCCAGTCTCACATTTCTGGACTTGTGGGAGCCCTCACTTAACCCTAACCCTATACGTTGTAGGCCATGACCAGACAGGGGGAGGATGGACACTGGCATGCACATGCAGACACATTCAACAGCTGAATCCTACCCAGCTCTGCCCCAACTTTCAGGAGTCATACTGTGCAACTTCTTCCTCCTGGGGCTGAACCATAATCTCTTATGGTTCAGACGCAGGAAAGCATTTCCACCCTGTTAGCACCTTGGTTCTGAAGACGGCCAGTAGGTGTCACCTGGCACATGCAGCTCATGTATCTTTGATAGCCCTTGGTGACCCTCTATGACACTACACTTCCTTGGATCTATACAAACCACACCAGATGACCTTGGCTAGCTAGCTGTGTGGTACAATGGCAGATAGCAAGCCCAGTGGTGGCCTAGCAGGGTCAGTATGGAAGGGCCCTAGTCAGCATCCAGGTGACCAGGCATTTACTCCATCTCCACAGGGCTACAGCTGTTGTCAGAAACTACAGATCTAGTCTTTGAGCTAGCATTTACAGACGTGTGCTGCTCAGAGGCTACTTCCTTTGGGGAGACCACTGAAGAAACTTTGGACCCCAATCTCTTTAGCTCTTCTAGTCCCAAACATCAACTGTCTGACAAAGAGCCCCAAGCCCTAACTGTAAGACAAGCCATGATGCAAGTGAGTTCCACAGGAACACTGGGGAGGGAGCATCCTCTGCTGAGACATTCCCCAGACACAACTTCCTACACGGCTTCTTCTTGTCCTTACCTTAGGGCCCCTAGGACTAGAAATCTGCACAAATCTCTCCTGTCAACAAAAAACACAAACAGCACTAGGCATATATGAGTGACACATTCCAGCCCCAGAATTTAGGAGCCTCTTCCAAGAGCAGCCAAAGCATTTTCATTGTGATTCCTCTACCTGAGCTAGATGGACGTACCATGGCCTCCCAAAGAAGTAAGGGTGGAGGAGTAGCAGCCAACCATGAACAGGCTGCTGCACCTTCTGGTACTACCCATCTCCTATCAAGGAGAAAAAAAGAACAAGCTGAATCTTGAACAGGGTACTGGATGCCATAATCATGAGGCAGAGCGAACATAAAAGAAAGAAAGGGTTCAGAACCCCCAAGAGAGTAAAATGCAAAGACCTAGGACGTTGCAGGGTTTGTCATCTACTCGATTGTGTAGAAGGGAAACTAAGGGAACAGGGTCAGGGAAGACTGAGGGTGGATGAGGCCCACCCAGCAGGACCAGGGAGAATGGGGGTAGGTAGGGCATGTACTAAGGCTCAGTACATGTAGGGAGGGGATGGGTAGGGCAGGGCTGGGGAAACTGGGAACCAACACATGCAGAGACAGGGAGGATAGGAGAGAGGGCATGGGAGACTGAAGTCTACTGCAGGAAACTGAGGACCAGAACATTCAGGACCAGGGAGAATGGGGACAGGGTGGGATTGGGAAGACTGAGGCCCAACCAGAAGAGTCAGGGATGCTGCAAGAAGTCTTCCTCCTACAGCTGTCTTCCAAGAGCTCACCTTCATTCTACCTTTCCTTCTTTGTTGGGTTCTCTCCTCCCACACCTCCTTCTGCCTCTTCTTCAAATTACCTCAACATGTTTCCTGGATATTATGTGTCAAGACAGAAGACAAAGTTTAAGTGTGGCTGAACAGAAATATACTGCCTCAAATTTACTACTCCAGAAAACTACTGGTCTCCCCCCTAGACAAAGATCCAGTGCTGGACCGAGGAAGGCCAGGCAAACTGCAGCAGTGGCTGATGCAACATCTACATGGATGTAAAAGCCTAATATGTAAAGGCAGGGGTAAAGTGGGTAGACAGGAGCTAGAATAGCAGGAAAGCCTGCTCCTTAGTGCCAAAACAGGAAGCCGCCTTAGTGTTAGCTCCCATAACTAACCTATGACTCCTGGAAGGTGAACTGGAGGAGCACCCACAGAGGCACACCTCCTCTCCTTCTTCCTTCTCTCCTTGTACCCTAAACAAGGCTGACCAATCATTTATTTGCTTTCTCCTCTCCTCAGGTACCACGTAGCTAATGTCACCTGCTCATCCAGGCACCACCTGAAGGAACCTTCTCACTCGAGACCATTCCCGCCCACTTCCACGTTGGATAAAATGATGATGGGAATATTAAGCCCATAGGCGGCTTCAGAAACCCCAACCCGGGACATTATAATTTTTATATTTCTATATCATGGTCTTAACAGTTCATTATTTTTAATAACTTACAAATAGATGATCAATATGTTATTTTAGAATATGTTCTAAAAATCTCTAAGTATGATACTTTATATTTATGGTGTCAAGATAGCACATTGGTTGCCTAAGTTAAAAAAAAAGTGATGTGCTCATATTTAAGAAATGTCAGCACTCAGGAGGCAGAGGCAGGCAGATCTCTGTGAGTTCGAGACCAACCTGGTCTACAAGAGCTAGTTGCAGGACAACCTTCAAACCCACAGAGAAACCTGTCTCAAAACCCAACCCCCCAAAAAGAAATGTCCATCATATAGGTAAAACTGTAAGTTTTAGAATTTATGCCAATTAATCTAAATCAGTGTCAAGAAATCAAAGATAATCTACAGGCTTATTGCCCAAGATAGATTCTGTTTTTTTTTCTTTATATGAAGCTAATATACTTGCCTATCTACTATGCAAAGGGAAATGTCTGCACTCCCTTTCCCTTACAAAGACCTTAGAAAAAGAAGAAGCAGAGGCTGGAGAGATGGCTCAGCGGTTAAGAGCACTGACACCTCTTCCAAAGGACCTAAGTTCAATTCCCAGCACCCAAATGGCGATTCACAACTGTCTATAATTCCAGTTCTAGGGGACCCTAACCCTTACACAGGCATACATACAGGCAAAACAGTCAACGCACATAAATTGAAACATCAGCGAATCATGTGGCTAAGCTGTCTTATCCCAAGCAGCATGACTTTTGCCACTCCCCTTTCTTCCAGATCTCAGGTCCTAAAGAAACTGAGGACAAATAGCTAACTGTGGTGCCTATTAGCATACAAAGGGCATGCTGGCCTCATGCTGCCTCAGCATCACAAGTACCTGCCGGCACCCTGTTCTTCTTACCCCTGCCCCCCTACCCTAGACCTCTCCAGCCCAAGGGCTTCGCTTCTCTTCCCCAGCTTCTCTGTTCTATAAAAACTTGCCATTTTAGCCATGCTCTCTCTTGGTCCTCTGCTCTTGGCTCCTGGTCGTCCCTCTTCTCTTCACCTCTTACTCCCCACCCCCTGCACCCAGCCCTTCTCATGGCCTGGTTCAGTCTGCTGGTCATGTTTAGTCTACTACTCCTTGCACTGCTCTGGACCCTTTCAGATGCCTCTGGCTGTACTCTCCCTCATAGCTACAATAAAACTCTTCTCAACCAT